GGTTCCTTACAGTACGTCACACAGGCAAGCATTCGGGTGGGTTTTGAGTATCTGCATAGAAGGGGATTTCATAGCCTCTCTGGGCACCCTGTTCCAGTGCTCCATCACCCTCAAAGTAATTTTTTCCTCATGTTTGTATGGAACTTCTTGTGCTCCAGCCTGTGCCCATTGCCCCCAGTTCTGTCACTGGTCAGCACTGGAAAGAGGCTGGCCGCACCCATTTGACTCCTGCCCAGTCGATATTTAAAAGCAGTGATAAGATTCCCCTCAGCCTCCTCTTCTGCAAGCTGAACAGATCCTTCTCTTCCTATGGCAAATGCCACTTTTGTTCAGGATTCTGGTTGCAGAAACCTTCCAGAGCCCATGCAACTTGTCCTGGGGTATTTCCACAAAGACTGTTGCTGTATATGGCCTTAAGGTCTCTATTTCTTTTACCTTGGTTGCATAATTAGTCATTTTTCGTTTATTTTTAGACAAAACAGAGCAATATTTATCTTTTAATTATTTCCATGTTTTCCTGATGCAATAGGGGATATCAGTGTCATTACAAAACTTGTTATAAAGGGTTTCTGAAATGTCTGTTATCACCTAAGCTTCAAGAGCTTCTTATTAAACAGAGAGATCAGCAGGGGAGGCAATTCCATACCACCTATAGGGCATAGCTATGCAGCTTTTTTTTTTTTAGTGGGACTGTTGTTTTAGGAAGTACAAAAAGTTTCTAAGCCAGTGTCCTCTGTTCCTATTCCAACCTAAGCTTCAATTTTTCTTAGATCCTCCAGGGTATGAATCACCACTGGCATTTGAATCATATTTGTACTGAAGACAGGGAGAACTGCACCAACAAACGAGTCTATTGTCGTCTGATATGCAAATGCTTTAGCTGAGTAACTCCACCATCATCCTTGGTATAAAATTTCTTAGTGTTTCTGACTCTTTTTTGTCTATTCTTCCTAACTTTGACTGTCTCTTATTCTTAGGTAAAATTTAATGGATTAGTATAGTATACGCACGTGTACAATGGTTTCCAAATTCAAAGCCAAACTAGCAAGTATGAGGGTTCTTTGTAGAACTGAAGGAACATTCCACAATTTTAAGCACAGTATAATATCAATTTATACAAAGAATATATTGCTATTATTGCTTTTTATTATGTTGAAGTCAAGGATCATCAGCCAGAAGTCACAAATTAGCTGTCTAATGGAGTCTTTGGGCTTTATCTTCTGTGTTAATCTTAGAAAATATTTTATATTTTAATGCACTTCCTAGGTAAGTTTTGAGCCGCAATTTGTCATGCACTATTAATTTTTAGGTCTAAACAAGTCTTGATATTAATTATTACTTCACAGCAGCCAGACATTTTATAAAGCTATAGTGATAGTGTTCATCTCCGGAAGCATCTGCCTGCTGAATATTTGGTACTTAGGGCTCATTTCTTCTCACAGTTTGAATCTGTTAGTCTCAGTCTGAAAAATTAAAAGCATGCATTTATGACAGTCATTCTTTAACCTTCTGTGTGGTATTTGACATCCACGGAGATTTTCCCAGCCCTGGGAATTGTTAAGTCAATGTTGTCTTAGCTAAAAACCATCAACTATAGCTAATGTTTCAAAGCTGACTTAAGCCGCACTCTTAAATCCACTATTTACACTCTTAGAAAAAAGTGATCTGATTTTTAAAAACATTTTAAAAGAAAAAGTAAATTTCTGATTAAAATCAATGAAGAGTAATTATAAGCACTCATAATTAGCATATTAGGAATAATAGTCTATGTTGAGTGTGCTGTGTTTTGTGTCTGGTCACACCACCTCCACTAGGACCATTTGGGCCAGACATTCCACCACACAGTTTGCTACATTAGCAGAGCAGTTCTACAGTTTGGGATTAACATTCCACAGTCGCAGCCAAAGGGACACCTCTGTCCAGGTCAGACCTGTGGAGGAATTGCAACCAGTACCTCAGAGAACTGAAGACTGGTGGTTGAGGCATGAAGGCAAGTGGATAAAAATGACAGACTGTAACATGGTTTTACTGTTTTGCTTTTTTGACATACTTAAAAAATTTGAGAATATTTTAATTTTAGAACCAACAAACAGCTATGTAAAGGCTGAGGAACACATTCTGAAGAAAAAGGAGAAAGCAAACTGTCAGTTCTCCAATGCAGTACCACCTGAAGGACACAGGAGGGGAGGTGAAGATTCCTTCCATCACACAGCCAAGAGGTAGAAGCTTTTTCCTTTCTTGCAGTGACTCCTTGCCTCCTGGCTGTCACAGCCTTTCCACTGTCACTGCAGGACACTACAGCCACAAGCACCGCTCTGTCCCACAGCCCTACAAGCACACAACTCTGGTGGTGCTGCAAAGAAAATGATGGGAAGAGGAAAGCACCCCATGTTGGGTGGGGTTACAGCAAGGGGAAGAAGCTGTCTTCATCCCATATCCATGTAGCTGCTCGCAGGAGGTACAGCCATCCTACCTCAGGATTAGGCTTTAGCCAACTGTCTTCTTTAGCTGCCTAGGTTTGTATTTCTTCTGCAGCAGCAATACAGCCAATCCTGCCTGGCTCACCTCCAGTAGCAAGTACACAGATGAAAGCCTCATTATAGCACACAGTGATATGCTGTACTTTTATATCAAGAGCTGGAATAACAAACTCGGTTCATGCAAGGGGCAGAGCTTTGGGCTCATCTCTGCTTGAGAGGCCTGGTTATTTATTAATTATATTTAAAGTTTTATAGCAGCTTAAAAGGAATGTGAGCCAGAGGCAACACTTCCAGTCAGGTCTCCCTTGTGCAATACTTGTGTAATTCTCTGGTTTTAGTGCTGGCTTGTGCAGCTACAGAAGGCTCTGGTCTGTTTCCTTCTCTACACCAGTGCTGGTGATTTCCTCATCCTTCGACGCAGAATTGCTCTGACACACAAAACCCCAGAAGCACCACCTTGTTGTGAAATCCCAAGGCACAAGAGTCCAATGGGCAGACCAGTGCTGGGGGAGACCATTAAAAAAAAAAATATCTTATCCAATCACTTCCTAAAGAAAATTAAAAAAAAAAAAAAAATCTTATTCAATCACTTTCTAAGGAAAATTCATCAGACTCCTGAAATCCCCCTCACTGTAACAAGTGAGTCACCTGCAAGTTTGGTGGACTGCAAGTTTCTGATTCAGAGCTTGCCAAAACTAGAATACAGGAGCAGTGTTAAAGTGTAGTATAAGCAAATGAGTTGTGGTTAGTTATGGATTGAGATATACTAGCTCATCAAGTTAGAAAGGGCCTTCATAAACGTACCACACACCTCAAATACTGTGTTCAGTTATGGGCCTCTCACTACAAGAAAGACATCGAGGCCCTGGAGTGTGTCCAGAGAATGGCAACACAGCTGTGCAGGGTCTGGAGCACAGATCTCATGGGGAGAGGCTGAGGGAACTGGGATTGTTCAGTCATAGAAGAGGAGGCTCAGGGGAGACCTTATTGCTCTTTACAACTCCATGAAAGGAGGTTGCAGCAAGGTGCTTCTTCCAGGTAACAGTGATAGGATGAGGGGGAATGGCCTCAGGTTGGGCCAGGGGAGGTTCAGGTCGGATGTTCAGAATTTTTTTTTTCTCAGAAAGAGTGGTGAGGGATTGGCACAGGCTGCCCAGGGAGGTGGTGGAGTCACCCTGGAGGTTTTCAAGAGAAGGGTGGATGTTGTACCAAGTGATACAGTCTAGAGTGATCTGGGGTGATGGTTGGACTGCATGATCTTAGAGATCTTTCCAACCATAATGATTCTATTATTCCATATGACTCATCACTCACTGTCTTTTGCTCCATGCGAAGCAACTATTTACTCAGTATTGATGTACTGAGGCTGAGCCTATCTAGGGCATGGGTAACTATGGATGGGCTCTGCCGTAGGGCTGCTGGCAGAGGCACTAGTGTTCACCTCCAGCCTGGAGCCAGCCCCACTGCTGGCATCTGCAGCCACCTACTGGTAGCCGCCTCCCCGCTAGGCCAGCACAGCATGGGAGCTCATCTGCTGGCCTCGTTACCTCCATAAACAAACGTCAGCTATTTCATTTGAGAATGTGCTCTCATTTTGAACAGATATTTTGAGATCCCTCTTTTATGAGCCAAGAGTTACTTCCAGACGCTTAGCACATATTAGCTAATGAGAACACTGCAGTTTTGCAAAGTAGGCTGCTAGTAGGCCCATTTTGCAGCAGGGCAAAATTAGTCTACCGAGAAATAAGTCAGGTGGGAGAGTTCAAGAGCTCAGCAGCCTTATTGGCATGGGGCATATCTGGCAGTTCTTGCCCACACAGTTTGCTGCTTGCTGCTGTTTCTTGAGATTCTGGCCTCGGTGAAGGAGAGATTGTGAGATATGATGTGCTGCACCCCATTAAGAAATATCTGAGGAGTCCTTGAAAATCTGTTCACACTCTCCTTCCCTACTGCTGAATTTAGCTTTGTAGGAGTGCAGATAGAGAAAAGTTACTTGTAAAATCTGATGCAAATTCAGTGTATCGCACGTGAGCTGCAGCTTATACTTTGATTAAGTGAATTTACATAGCCAGTATTAGTTAAATCCTAATGTATTAATGAAGATGCTAATCAATGAAGAGGTGTGCAAACCAAATATGCAAACCAAATAGGAAAGCATGCTTAAGGGAGTGGTTCTGGAGAGATGTTTTCACCTTGCTGTTGGGAGTAATCTGCCATCCTGCCCCTGAGATGCCTTATCAGGATGAGCAGGTGAGAAGCTGCTTTGATTTTAGCAATTGAAGATATTATCTGTGCTTCTTGATTTCTTTTAAATTAACATGTAGCTTTCTGTAGTAATGTTACAGGTTTCATAAGCAAACTTGGCAAAGATAACAAATGTTAATTGGCCCCGCTAATCTCAATTTAATATGATGATCATCATCTTTTGTTTTTCCCTTCCTTTGCTGCTGACTGTGCCATTTCTTCCCTATTCCCCACCCTTCATTCAGTGCATTTGTTCAGTTACAGTGTTGATTTAATTTTTCCTAGAAAAAGCATCTTGCCCTCCCACTATGTGTCTCTTCAGATCTCTGGCCTCTGGTGCTGTCCAAATAAATCAAGTGGAAATGCCATGTCCTTGAGCCTTTGCTGTCTGAAACAATTACAGAAAAGAGCTGGATTAATTAACTGACTGTGATGGCAATCAGGAAAAACAGAAAATAGCTATGATCTAGACTCTCAGACCTCCAGTTCAAGTCTCCTCCACAGCTATCCTCCTAGTCACATCTTTTAAACTGAGGTAGGCTCACCATCCTTATCCTCTCCGAGGTACTTGTTGCCCTTGACACTTCTATTAATCCTTAAAGTTGGAGTTTATGACATTTTCTATTCTCTCTTTCTCTGTTTAGAATCTTTCCAAAGCTTTCTCTCCAATCTCCAAGTGGAGAATTCCAAGTAAGCTTCCTGCTGTGCCTTCCTTCCCACCTTCTCTTTTCCGTTCTCGGGTGACCTCTCCTGCTGACATGGATCAAACTATTACCTCTGTGTCAACTGCCTTTAAAACATTTATCTACTGCTGATTTTTCTTCTGCATGTTGGCTTTGCATCTTGCTGCCTCCATAGTGCTACATCCTGACAGACAGCTTGCTGCCAAGCTCATTGGGATACAAAAACAATCTCATTAAAAACCAAACCCAACAACTCAGCTTTCCCTGGCTGTCTGGCTGGCAGCCAGCATGTTTGTCAATTTCAATGTCTTTGATATTTAAATTTAGCTTTCTCTTACTGCTGATACCATTTGGCAGAAGGTGTACTTACAATATTATTCCCAAAGCTATTTGCCAGGCATCTCTGCTCATCTCTGCTACACTCAAACCTTCCCAGGAATTCACTTCTGCTTATAAGAAATAATACCGGTATGAACAAAATATTAGTGCTATCCCAACTGACTAAAGGGATAATTTTATTATTATTCATTCGCGTTTCTACTCTTTGTATGTTCATATGCCATATCAAAAATTGCCTTCTAGCCAAGGGCTATCTTCAACTGTTCATAACGCATCTAACATATTTCAGTGTGTGTCTCTGGGGTTCTTTCACAGAATTCCAAGAAAGAAAATAATTATTTTAGTAACAGAACAGCGTGACTACAAAACTGCAACACTGATACCTGGTATTAGAGGCAGATGAATTATTTGTCTGAAAATATCATACTTCTGTGTCCCAGTTTGACACTAGTTGTGCAAGATACTGCAGGCCACACTAAAGCTTCTCACTTGTTGAATGTCTCAGTTTAAGAAGAAAAGAAAAAAGCCCAAGAGTTACCTGACAACTAGTCTCATTAAGACTCCTCAGATTTTTTTATATCTAGAAAATTTCAGTGCTTCAGAGTTTGCAAGTATTCCCTCATGTATTTGTTAACTTATGAATCTCAATGATTTTCACTGAGGTTCCTGGTTTCAATTTTGAGAAGGATCAGAAAAGTTGTTACTCTTGGTTTACTAGGACTTGATTCTTGAAAATTTTAAGAAATTATAGAATGTTGAAATTACACAACTGTGTTTCAGGTGATTCTCTGCCATGCCACTATAGGTACATTTGACTAAAATAAAGATGCTCTGGTATAAATATGTACATAAACACACTGGCAGCTATTCAGATGCTGCCAAAACCTAAAGATGTTTGTTATGCCTTGATACCAACACCCAAGTCATTACAGTACAGTACAGCCCAAGTACTATGAATTTATTTCAGATGGAAACACCACTGAGACCTAGGGGACAGATTTTTGCCTCTCCTGTTTCATCTGCAGTATTCAGTGCAATATAGATGCCAGCGTGTAGTTCCAAAAAATCATGACTGAAAGAGTCTGCCTTTTTTCCCATAATTGCTTGAATGTGAGGTGTTCATCTAGACCTAAATGCTTTTCTAGTTTTCATTCCAGGATGCTGGAAGCATTGATGTAAATGCTATAATCATCAGGAATTCATGAGAGATATTCTAATATCTGCTTTCAGTAAAATGCTTAACAGCTGCTGGGCACATTATCCAACACTCTTCAGTATTCCAGTGATCATACTGCAGTATCATACTCATTCTGTTTCCTCGTCCTGCTGAATATTCATGCCATGCAATGCAGAAGAGCTTCCATAGATGACCAGCACATCCTGCAGCAGATGGGTAAAAGGCCAGAAGGAAATGTGAGCTCTGGATTTAAACCTTCTCCAGAAAAAAGGCTGCTGTGCTCTGGTGTCCCACATTCTGGGTGCCTTATCTAGGCACACAGGTAACCACCCTGAGGTAAATGGTCAGTTGTTGGCTATCATCTCTTAAAAGGACCAACAACCTTCATTTTTTAAAAGTAGAAACAGATTCCTAATTGCACCAGCAAGTGGATATTTCAGGTGCAGGAACAGCGAGGTCTGCAAAACTTAGCGCTGATCCCAGCCTCCTTCATGAACCAATTTCAGAGGAGTTCTTCCCATGAGGAAACAAGACTCAGTACTGGCAGAGTCAGAACCTCACATGCAAATGCTTAGCAAACAGGAGTTACAGTAAACTCACATTCATAGAGAATTTTCTAACTAGAAAATTAATCTTTTGTGAAGGATTGCAAAAAAGGTCTACCTTTTCTCTTGCCCCCTGGCTCCTTTTTGTTCATGAAAGCCTTATCATTAAGCTGTACAAGAGACATGCTCTGTTGTAGATCCTTAAAAATACCCAGCAAGAACTTTTACAGGGGATATTTAAATGCAAGTTAAATTAATTTTTGTGGTAAATTAGGCATATATAAAAATTTACTGGCTTTCACTGTAACAGCTCAAGAAAAGTATTTAGCTGTGAAGTTATCTATGGTCTCTTTTGGTTACAGCTGTATCATATCCTTTTCTTACACATTTGTTTTGTTCACAACGTAGCCCCAAACCTGTTAAACGTGGTGGAAACTGCTGTTGAATCTGCTGTTCAGCTGGAAATTTCTTTTCTCATGGAGCTTTAAAAGCAGCCTAGAAGTAAAAACCAGAGTTTCAGTCTGAGAACACTGCTTGACATAAATTAATTATTGTATGCATATTAATATTCATAAGGGACCCAATTATGTGGGAAAGTCACAGTGATCTATTTGCTGATTAGAAAAGAAAACACTGGCATGATTTTTTTCTTAAATTCACCTTGTTATCTACAATTTGTATCAATAAGCAAATGCAGGGTTAAGATGAAGTGGGATACATACCGGTGAGGTGACTGCTGAAAATGCAGTCAATCTTTCAGCAGGTAAGAATCACAGAATCATGAGATAATTTAGTTTGCAAGGACCTCTGGGGGTAGGTTGGTCCGATTCCTCCATCAAAGCTGGGCCAAACTCAACATCACATTCCTCAACAGCTGTGGAACACGCTGAAGTGTTAATAAAGTGTGGAACAGGAAATGCTTGAGAAAAGCAGGTGGATATAATTAGGTCTAAGAGGCCTAAAACTTAAGAGCTGCCACTTTAGGGTGGCTCTTTTGAGTGCCATCCAGGAAAAAAATGTTCTTTGTTGCCACCAAGAAGTCGTGTTTGGCCAGGCAGCATTAAAAGTAACTGAGATAAAAGACTGAAGCCTCATTTACAACACTTGATCATAAAGGAAAGTCTCCAAATTTTTGGTAAAACACATCTCAGACTTCCTGTAAAAATGACGATGACTTGGGACAGCCATGAATGGTTTGTAGCAGCTGTACCTTATCTAACATCATTTTAATCTGAAAGTCAGCATCTCAGAAACTGCCTCACTTGCTGAAGGACCACTGCAGAAGTTGCTCACAAAAGACACCTGTCTCACATCTCTGGGGCTGAGAGAAGAGCTTCACAGCACAGGTGTGTAGGGAATGGCCAAGCAGTGCCAATGACTTCCTGAGAGCTGGTGTGTGATGAGCAGCATCCCTACACACAGTCATCACCCTGCAGTGCGGAACATACTGACACTGCTCTCTAACACTTATATGAAAGCCAAGGAGTATGTTTATTCCCCTTTCTGGGAGAGGTCATCACAATGAGATTGTGTCCAGGATGCATTCAGCTTTGTTACAGCTCTGCTTGCTGAGTCAGTCCTTCTCTGACTCACAGTGAGAGTGAGAATCAAAGGCAAGTGAAGTTCCTGGGAGAGCTGACCTCATTCAGCAGGGCTCTGCCATCTTCAGCCAGTTTGCAGGCTGCCTATGTGCAGTGGGAAAGGGCTGACACATCTGGTGCTGTGATGCATGAAAGAAAGCTACTCAGCACCTTCCTGGATCTTTGGAAATTGGATTTTATGTTGTTTCCACACAGTGAGAATGTTGCCATTTTTGTAGCTGAGATTGGGCTGATCTCACAACTGGGGGAAAAAAAAAGAAAAAAAAAAGATAAAGATTCTTATGAAACAACTTGGATTTCTTCCTATAGCATCTATAATTTTTTGAAGTCCCCAGATTAAAAGATCAGGAAGCTTATTAACAGAGTAAGTGTTGTGAATGCTTAGCTTCTCCTTATTAATTCCCATTGGTTTGCTCTCTCTTTTGAACCACCCATGCTAGTACAGCATTACTATGTATGTTCCCTTATACAAGTCCAATAGATTTGTGATGAAATGTTTGGAATCTGCCAGCTGTTCTATTATCCTGTGAAGTATTGTAATGCTTGCTTTAATTTTGCAATGTGCAAATAAAAGGAGTGTCTATCAGAAAAGCATATGAAATTCTGATTAAAAGGTTGCCTTTCCAGTGAAAGCTTTTGGATTTTTATGAAACATAGGCTGAATTTGTTGTTCTTTCTGAACGGTTTACCAAAATATACAGTAGTTGCTTTTGTAAACTTACCTATCCAACACTTTTTCCCAAAAGGCTACTGTGGGTACACAGGAAAGAGTCTGAGTTATATCCACTAAGAGTCTGAATTATATCCATAACTACTAAGTTAATCTCAAATGGCGTCTTATCGGGGTTGTTTTAAATTTAAAGCATTAGAAGTTCCAGACTGTATCATTGAGAATGTCAACTAGAAGAACACCTCAGCCCAGCTCTACTTTCAGTTAAAGAGAAATGTGCAAAACCAGATCTAAGGAGAATGAATTAAGAAAGTTTTCAGCAGGTGAAAAAGAAAGAGAAGGGATATTGCTTGTAAATAATGGGCGTTCACAATAGAAAGGCAGAGGAAAGAATTGCTGGTGTGATCTTGAGAAGAAGCTGAACTATAAAAGTCACTGGGGTCTGAGCACTTGGAGACGCACACTCCCACTTTTGTGGGCATGGAAACTTCCTGGCAATGTTGGCTTGTTCTGCATAAACAGGACTAATGCACATTTTTGTCAAATAAGATTATATTATGAACGTATCTAATTTTCATTAGTAATTTTTATTCAAGTGGAAAAAAATAATCCTTGCAAGGCCTTTAAATTTTATGATCCATTTGAGCAAAAACAGCAGTACGATTCAATAGCATCTGAAAAAGAAAACTCCTGAAATGCTTTGAGGAGTTGGCTTTTGTATGGCATTTTACTCTAGAATAGTCACAAAGTAAACTAAAACATCAAATTCTGTTGTTTCACAAATGCTGAAGAACAGTGTGTGATTATGTGTGATAACAGAACACTGAAAGAAAAATTGCTTGAACTGATCTTCAAAGCAGGGAAATCTGGACGTGGCAGACTAGAAAAGAAATTCAAAAGGTTTGGGAAAGAAATAAATGAGGGTCAGCAGAAAGTTTGAAAATGGACCAGAAATCTCAAATATGCTTAGCATTATGATAGCAAAGGCAGGGCTTTGCATAGTGAGAATGTCTGCCAAGCTAATTGGAGCTGCAAAAGGAAGTTTTAGGAAAACAACTTTCTGAAATAGACGTCTATGAGCACTTGACACTTGTCAGATAATGATATGTCTGGTTGTTTTTTTTAAGGCAAATGTATACTTGTGTGTGTACACACATATGATGCATTTATAGATGGAAAATTTCAAACAATGGGAAACTGATAGAATTAAACATCTATTGACTTCAGAAAAAAAAAAGAACTGATACAAATTTTGTGTAGATGAGAATGAATCAGATTAAAACAGGATTTTCTTGCAGCTGCAGATTCAGCTTTAGGGCTCTGCCATATGCAGTGACACATTAAATCTGGTTCACTGAGATTGTTGTGCTACTGACTGTCTGCCAAACGTTTATGACAGAGCTAGCCACAGCATCTTAAATCTAAAATCCAAAAGTGTGCTAACCCTAAACACAATTACACAATTTGCCTTATCATAGCGGCCTGAAAATACAGTGGTCCAAAAGCTGCTTTGATTGTCATTTACTTATCCCACGGCAGCGTAAGGCACATATGTGGGGTGGGTTGGATCTGCATCAATTTGAATCTGCCATCCCATTATATTCAAGCATTAAGTACAGTTCTGTGGCTGCCAAGGAAGATGAAACGTCAGCCAAGAAATGTCACTGGGCAAGACAAACTTGGGAAAAAATGTTCAGTCTGATCTGTGAGGAAAAACACACTGAAAGCGCAAGCCAGGGAAGCTGTAGTTTGTGGGTGCAGTCAGTTCTGCAAAAGGTATTGATTTATCTTCAACTATTTAGTCCATCATCCACATCTGAGAATAGAACGTATGAAAAGCAAGAAATACCATTATTCTTGAAGTTGACTTTTTCTTGATAACACAGTAGCACAAACTGGCATAAAGAATTTAGCCCTTAGCTAATGACATCTTTCACAGGGTTTGGTCTGCTCCTTGTGTGGTCTGCCTGTCATCACAGTGACCTGTGTGGTTTTGAATGTGAAATCCAGACTTCTTCAGGACTTCCTCTTTGACTTTGGCTCTAAATAGCAATAATGTCTGCTGGTATCCCAGTGCCCAGATCCCCTTATTTGAATCTAATGACCTTGTTCTGTCTCTGCTACTCTTAATAATATTCCAGCACTGTTTTCACAGACCACATCTCTCAGGGAATTTTGCATTGCCACAGTCCATTCAGTAGTTATAGATCAGGATTCCTCAAATGTCAAAACATGGCCTGTGTTCAGAGCATGAGTAAATCAGCTTGACAAGGACTGGCAAGGCTGAACAACCAAAACCGCACAAAAGCTCAGTCAGCAGAGGAGGAATCATACAGAGAAGAACAGGATTCTTGGGCAGCAGGAGTATCCAATCTGCACTGAAAGTGTTGCCCCACTTCCCTGGGATCAGGCACTGTGACCCCTGCTTGTTCTTTGGCCCTCCTCTCAAAGTGCCCAGAGCCTCTTAGTGCCTCCTAATATGGCATTCAGGCCTTTGGCAAATAGCTAAGGATACAACTTGTCTCTCTAACACCCACTTTTAGAAGTGCTTCAGAAGCTGTTGTCCAGCAATACATTGCTTTCTTTCACTTCTGAAGTATGCCAGGCAGCAGAGCTAGAGGCAGCCTGGGTAGCAGAGGCTGAATATCTTTACATTCAAGCCCAGCCTGTAGGAAGAGCAAGTAGATGGAAGACAGGTGCCAGTGAAAGGAAACTGTTGCAGACAATAAAACAGAAGCAGTCCACTTTTCCAAGGCTTTTCTCTGTCCCTCTGATGCATTGGCTTTCTTGACTTCTGTATAATTGTTGCTATATTCTTTGGAGTTCTCTTTGTAATCTCAGTTCAGATATTTACTTGTGAAGGAAGGAGTCTTCTCTTCCCAGTCATTCACTGGAGAATTACAATCAGCTTCATTTAATTTCGTTCGGTTATCAAGAAGTAACCAACTTCTTTTCCCCTCTGAATGGAAAAGCTGCATTTTGCTTTAAAGTAGTGTTTTCAAATAGTGTGTTGTAACATTCATCTACTGCTCTGCTTGTGCCAGCAAATCTGACATTTACAAGAAACTGGGGACAGATGCCAAGAGGCCTGCATGGATGAGCAAGGAACTCATGGATAAACTGAAAGGAAAGAAAAAGGTCCATGAAATGTGGAAAAAGAGCCTGCCCACCTGGGAAGAATATAGGAATGTTGCCAGGGCCTGGAGGGATGCAATTAGGAATTCCTCTTGGAATTACCTCCTCACAAAGGAGGTAAAGGATAATAAGGAAGGTTTCTTTAAGCATATCAGCAGTAAAAGGAAGATTAGGGAAAATGTGGGTCCCCTATGAAATGCACACAAATCCATGGGCCCTGAGGGGATGCACACACATGTGCTGAGAGAACTGGCAGAGGTGATTGCTGAACCACTCTCTATCATCTTTGAAAAATCATGGCAAATGGGAGAGGTGCCTGAAGACTGGAGGATAGCCAGTGTCACTCCAGTCTTCAAAAAGGGCAAGAAGGGCTATCTGGGAAACTACAGGCCAGTCAGACTCACTTCTGTTCCTGGAAAGGTGATGAAACAATCTGTTCTGGATGTCATC